TTTATAATTAAGGGATAAAAAATATATAAAAAATTAAAAAACTAAAATTATGTAAAATCATAAAATTAAGAGACTAAAATTAATATTTAACCTATTTATCTTGTTGACTATTCTATACATAGACTGAAGGAAGGAAACAACCCATGCGCGTCTCAAAAAAAAAAAAAAAAAAAGAGAGAAAGAAGGAAGAAAGAATAAGGTCCATTCGGTCCTACCGTCCTAGGATGGATGGCAGATCTAAGATTATTCTTTTACAAAGTAAAAAGGCAATTGAGATTTTAAGATTGAATTAATTGATCAGTAAATATTATTTACTGTAAGTTTAAGTTAACATTTAAAAAAAATTAATGTTTTTAAATATATTAAATTAATATCAAGATTGTGTTTTTAAAATTATTTTGAAAAATATTGATTTTTAACTAATGATAGGGGGCGATTTTATTAGACCAAAGGTGGGACAACCTACAAACCACGTAGTCGCATCAAATTTTGTAAGCAAAAACACAAGCTCTTTAATTTTTTTGATAGCAAGTGATAAGCCCTTGAAGTAAAAAAGTGACAAATAAACCCTCCAACCTCACATTTGATGCAAATCAGTCCCTTTGCTAACTAATTCGTGACGCTGTTTGTTATTGACTGTGTGGCATTGCACTGCCTTTACATGGTTTTTTTTCTGCATTTACTTCATTTGTTTTTAGTAATACTATATTTTTTAAATTAATTAATTAATATTATATAATATACATATTTTTAGGTGATATTTTTAATAAAATAATAATATAGTTTTTCTTTTAATTAATGATAAATTTTACTTCAATAATTCTTATAAATTATTTCTTAAATTTAATTAAACCACTTGATTAATAAAGAATTTTTAATATGTTTCTTATTTTTTTCATTAATTTCCCTCTTCATTCAAATTTAGTAGATCTAGTTACATATTTAGTGTGTGTTCAAATTTAATTATCCACTTTTCATTTTTAAGATATTATTTAATTTGTTTATTCTCATTTTACCCTTATTTTTAAAAGATAACTACAACATTATTAAATAAGAAGTCTTATTTAAATAGTAATTAATGAAAAATAAATATGAAATTTTATCAATAAATTATTACATTTCTATTTTATTAGACAAAAAAACTAGATTTACAAAAAATGAAATGAGAGAATATTATAAAAGGGTTTTTCTAACTTCTACTCCTATAACACATATTAAATGTATAATAAATATATTTTTTATCATAAATTTATATTAGAAGAATAAATATTGATTTTTAATTTATCAAATATCTAATTAAATTCATCAACATATTAATGATATTAAAATTAATGTTAGCTTTTGCATTTTGCAATATAAATTAATGACAAAAATGTGTCTTTTAAGGCATAAATCAAGATGTGTTGACACTTTAAATGTTAAAATTCATTGTAAAAAATTATTTAAATATCCTTAATAGATTTTTTTTTTTTTGTGTTGATTTACTAAAAGTAGTTTAATATTTTCATTTTCATTTTTGACATTTTAATTGTCTCTTATACAATTTTGAAATACAATTAAAATATTAGAAATAATAATGAAAAGATTAAAGTACCTTTAGTGAATAAAAAATGTTCATTAAGGGTATTTAAATAATTTTAAAAGAAATTTTAACATTTAAAATCTCAAAATATTTTGATTTTTGCTCTTAGGTACACCTTTTTGTCATTAATTTATATAAAAAATATAGAAACTTAAATAATTTTAAAAGAAATTTTAACATTTAA